GCTAAATATTTTTAAACAAACTAATAATGTAATACATTTGTAACAAATATTTTCAGAAAGAATTCATGCAGCTATAGCTCTGCAGAAGGACGACCAAAAATCATGTGGAGAATAAAAAGACTGCAAGCCAACAGTGTTTTTCACTAAAAGAATGAAATCTCTTATTTGGTGCCATAAGATCTCGCAGTGCGAAAAATGCATTATATATTAGTGAAAATTATCCCACTTAAAAAATAAATATACTAATTATTTTTTTCATCTGAATATTCCGCTTATACAGGGTGAGGAAAAAGTATGAAAACCTCGGAAAATTCGGAAAACCGCATGAGGTTAGTCATGAAACAAAGGTCATACCCTATGTAACTTTCAACGAAGAACCCAACGGTGACCTCTGATTTGACCTTAAACCTAATTTTCAAGGTTATTTCGAGGTCAGCCTCATTTTTTATAGGGAAACCCCTATTTTTTATACCGGAATCAAAAAGAGCGATAAATTTTACTGGGTGGGAACGACAAAGATAGCGTGACCCTTAATCCTCCTTGAAACCATGTATTTTCAAAATTATCACAGCCTAATGCCTGGATAACTGAAACAATCTGATTTCAAAAAAGTTACAGCGTTCAAATTTCCTGTGATAAAAAAAGGACCTATTATTATATCGCCTACCATTTATGCCCACACGTTTAATTTTTGAGGATATTTAAGTGAGAGGCAAGGGAAACTCACTATTAAAAAGCACCCCGAAGTGAGAGGCAAGAGGAACTCACTAATAAAAAAGCACCTCGAAGTTAGAGACAAGGGGAACTCACTATTAAAAAGTACCCCGAAGGGGTCGTCACGTCGTTGTTCCTGGATAGCGATAAAAGGAGGATTAGAAGTTACGATATCTTCGGACTTGAATCGGTTCCACCCGTAAAATTTATCGCTCTTTTTAATTCCAGTATAAAAAATAAAGGTTCTCATATGAAAAAATGAGATTGACCTTGAAATAACCTTGAAAATAAGGTTCAAGGTCAAATCAGAGGTCACCGTTGGGTTCCTCGTTGAAAGTTACATACCTTTGTTTCATGACTAACCTGATGCGGTTTTCCGATTATATTAATATATTATTATATTAATATATTAATATATTATATTAATTTGCACACCTCATTTTGGCCACGTAACTGCTCGGTGGGGTAAATCTACCCCAGCCCGAAAAACATCGAATAAATCAGAGAATTTTAGATATTTTGCTATGAAAATTTTTTCTAGTATATTTCAAACCTTTTACTACAAAAAAAAATATTCAGGTTAACAATTTTTAATTTTACACAAACTGAAAAAAATTGTTGAAAAAAAAAAAATAAATTTTATTTATTGTTTAAAATTGTCTGGGGTAAAACTACCCCACATAGCAGTTAAGGGTTAATATACTTTTTCTATACCCTGTATATATTTATATTGAATGATTATTTCCGGCGATTGTAAATTTCATTAACTACTTAAGAGATTGGAAAAAAGGTGCTCATGAAAGAAAAATTCAATTCCATTTGACGCAAAATACTTACACCGGCTTAATTATTTGCACAACTAGTGTGAATATGAATATATAATACTTAAGTTAGGATATAGTCAATGAGATATAATACTCAAGTTAGTTGCGTTGATAACATGGAGACATACATAGCCTCCATGCTATATCTAACTTGGATTCGCCAATATCATGCATGGCCAATATACTCAACAAGGGGCGCTGTTCGTGCTATGTACACGCTTAAGACTTGTAACTGTAATAAACGAAGCGATAATTTTGAATTTGATTAGACAACATGCCAAAATCGCGTAATTATAATAAAATTTGTTAAATTACAATTTTAACTTGCTTGCAACTACAAAATTGATTTTGAAATAATTTCTAAGTTCTAGGTATTAGCGGCAACATACTCACATATAATTATTTTTCGAAAAAAGTATTGTGAGTAACGATGTAAGCAATTCATAAATAAATTATGAAAGAATTGTAAAATTGTAATGACTTCAAAAATGTTTCACACTTTTATTAAAATTAATAACAAATTAATATTTTAACTACGAAATAAAAAAGTTCATATACAAACTTGCAAAAAACACGATAGCAATCGGTCGTCTTGATTTTGTTATTCACATAAACGACTATTTTCACGATATTTATTTTAGACTTAACAGTTACAAAAAGCATTTGTTTCAAACGAACCATCCTTTACTCCAACAAAATTATTGTAATTTTATAATAACCCTATATCTTTATACATCCACCTATGATTACATTTTCTAACATTACTGTTTACTTCAATCAATAAAGACATTGAAAAAATAACGTAACCAATGAAATGAAAAAATATTTCCTTTACGGTACATTGAAAAATATATACATAATAGAGTAAGATTTAAAACTTGTGTTAGCTTTAACTAAATAACATCTTTAAGGATTAAATTTATTTTTTATGCTATTATACAACTACTTTTCAATATTATCAGTTTTTTTCAATGTAAATGTGTTACAAATAACAATTTTCTCTTCCATTTTAGATGCGTATCCAAAAAGGGATTTTTAACCCATTAATATACCTCCAAAAAAACATTTTATAAAAATGTAAATAAATAAAATGATCTATATGATATGATTTCAAATATTCCTAGGAATGTCAAATCAGGAATAATACAAACTACAAATTAATGCTAAAGTTTTGTAGAATACTGCAGATGATACTACAATAATTATTATTATAATAATTATTATAATAATAATTATTATTATACAATAATTATTATTATAATACTCAACCTATTAACGCAAACAAGACGGTTGTTCGAGAACTGAATTCGAATTATTACTGCGTAATTAATTAAAATGAATAAAATTCAGTAATCACTGGACCCTATGTTTTTGATGATACTTTTTCCAATGCTGTTGGATAAAAATCTCGGCAACAAAGTTTTGCCATCGCAAAATAAATAAAAAAGCTTAATTTTTTGAATTTTGCTTCAAATAGACTTTTTGATACCTTAAAGTTTTTTTATGTCTAAAATCTCTTTATATACCGCGATGTCTAAAATAAATATTAATAAATATAGCCAAACATGAAAATTTATTGTTTAAACAAAATAGGGCCTGGTATAAACATTTTTTTCTACAAATTTCAAAAATTTTTTTCTCGAATACTACAGATTTTTGTATAAATTTCCTAAGAGCAAAATTATCTTAAAATTGATCAAAGAATATCCTCAAATTTTTTTAGAATGATTCAAGAAACTTTTTGAATTTCCAAAGTCATGGTGTCAAAAATTCAAAAATTGTATAAGAAAAATCTAAAATAATTCTAAGATACTCTTGGAATAATTCTACGACATTTTTATTCTCAGAAAATTTGTTATAAAATATATACTTTTCGTGCAAAAAGTTCTTAAGGTTTACTCACCGTGAATTTTTTGAAAAAAAATGTCATAAATTAGTCAGAAAGAACACTAGAATTATTTCAGTACTTTCTAAGGCTTCTCAAAACATTAGAGGATATTCTTTGATCAATTTTAAAATAATTTTATTCCTAAGAGTTTGTAAAATTTTCAAATAATTTTCATATCGGTCGCTATTTTGTTTAAGCAACAAATTTTCATGTTTGGGCAAACTTACTAATATTTATTTCGAACATCAAGGTATATAAAGAGGTTTTAGGCATATAAAAAAAAGTTATGGGATTGAAAAGTCTATTTGAAACAGAATTCAATCGAAAAATTGAGATCTTTTTATTTATTTCTTATTTTTCAATGACAAAACTTCATTGTTAAGATTTTTATCTAACAACATCAAAAAGAACACCCTCAAAAAAATACAGAATACTGGTTCCTTAATTTTTTCTGTTCAAATTAATTACGTGGTAATAATTGAATTCAGCTCTCAAAAAATCATCATATGTGCTGTACCAGGTTAATTGTGAAAGTAATCTATTCTAATCTATTTTAATGATCATAATCCATTTTATAAGAAATTTTGTTCTATTAATATATTCTACCAATTCATTACATAGAATCTATACAAGAAAATTTTTTATCTCTATTTGAAGTATAATTATTTGAATATTTATTTTTAATAGAAAAAATTTATGTTTAATGTTCAGGTTGATACAACAAATTTTGAGAGAACAACGACCCAGAGTATGTTTTAGTTTTTTTTATGTTCAGAATTTTTTATATGAACTATTTGTGATGGTAGAACAGTTGTAAAAGAATATAAACATTTTAACTTTTGAAAATTTATAACCTAAAAGTTTTTAACAATGCATAAAAATTACGAAAATTCTAATGGTATATTCGAAATAACCTATATGCTTTTAAAGGCAGCATAGGTTACCTCTTCTACATATTAGATTCTCAATACATCATATGCTTCTTAGAAAAACCCTTATAGGTTGTTACCTATCAGATATTACAATTCACTTAGTACAAGGAACCAGTCTGTTGGGTGCCTTGTGTGGACCATTGCTTGCTTTCGTATATAAATTAAAGAATAGTACAATATTTCTTATAAGAAGTTTTCTTAAAAATACAAAATAGATTAAATGTACATGGAAATTTGTCATAATTTCTATAGTTTCCAATAGTTTATTTAAATTATCAATAATGGATCTTCGAAAAAATGTAAATAAATATTAATATCTAAAATATACATAATCATTTTATATAACAATATTACTTTAATCTATAATATTGATTATAAGATTTTGTACAAAAATTTCATCATGAAAATTCATGTAAGCTATTCAAGAAAAAAGAACAAATTTATCCTATTTATTATATATATATGAATGAAAAGTTAGGGCTTGAGGATATTTTACATCTTTTAAAATTTTTAGGACTATACAAATAAATAATACTATAATAATTAATTGAAACTATATTAAATTAAGATTATAGTTCTCTTTTACTCATTGTAACAATCATATGAAAGAAATAATTTAAGTAATGTATGATGAAAACGTACCTATTAGTTTTTTAAGTACTGTGTATCCTGACTCCAAGTTTTGTATTTCTTCAATTTCAAAACCATTAAATTCTTCAGTTTCACTAGAAGAAACATCCACATTTTCAGAAGCTTTACGTTTATTCAATTGCATTGCTGTAGGTGATAACTTGCCAGTAGCCACAGAATTATTAGAATTGGCCTTTAATTTGCGTGATTTTCTTTTAACGGAAGGAGATGCATTTTTTTTATTTAATATTGATTTAAGATCACCATTCAGATTTTTATCTCCGGGCTTATCGTTATCGGCAATAACTTTCACCGGTGTTTCTGCCGTAAACATACATTCTAGGTTAAAATCCACACGCGCTGTCTCAGCTTTCCCGCCATTCAAATCAGAAGCATCCATTCCAAATTAACTTGTCTACAGCATTACCAAAATATTTTATTATGATTTTAAAAGTAATAGTAACAGTGTAAAATTATTAGTTTGAAAAGTTTAACGCTAATAAATTCTTTCATTAATAGTGAGATTGTGATTCGAATTAAAAATCAGAAAGAAAAATAATGAAATCATTTTACACTCCAAGATGTTGAATAGAGAAATGTAAGATCTTTTTACTGAATAAATAAATATTAGTTTCAGAAAATCTTGGTTTTCCCTTTAATTTATGATAACCGTCACACTTCATATACTATGAATAAAGTAATTGTAACACTAATATTATTCATATTTATCGTATTAAAAATAAAACGTATTCTTGTTGCACAAATTAAATTACTTTCAGATAACTAGAGCACTTTTCAATGTTCTACACTTCTGAAAAAGTATCACACTCGATTCTCAAAGTTTAGGAAAAACGAATTTTAATAATGATCTTGACGAATATACAACATTATATCCAGTAAAGTACCCTAGGCTTCATAATATTAATTCGTACAGAAAACGCAAGTACTTCTCGAATCAACAAAAATCTGTCTACTATATGAGGTAGTGTATAGCTAGCGCTAGAAAAATGCGATTATTTAAATGAATTGTAGTCAGTAGTGCTAGGCATCGATGGTTTGTATCGAAAAAAAGGCTCCCTAGAGCTGACTTCAGTGTGTACACTGAAAGATTTCCGATTCCGCTCGTTCCAAGGTTCCATTGAATTTTAAATTTTAAAAGGAAATGCTTTCCGCATATTAGCATGTAAAAAATTATATTTATATGTACAATGTATTGTACAATTGTTGAAAAGTAATAAATAATAAATAATGAAAACTGTAATTAATTAAAAAAAGTTATTTTTTAGCGACCTTGTTTTCACTCCTTTCTGATTTTATAATAATTAAAAATTGATTATTCTATAGAATTTACAGATTATTATTTAATTTGTTGTTAAATAATGAAATAAAATTATAAAAATTATTTAAATATCAGACCCCCCCCCCCCCAATGTATTCTATTATGATATACACGACTTCTGCCAATTCGCAAATTAACAACACAACCCGAGCCTTCCCGCCGAATGCCGATCGAACGAGCAAGTTTATTTCTTTTGTGCCGGCTACAGAACAACATCGTGCTTCTATTCACATCAGTTGTTTTTAACGGTTATAAAAAGTGTTTACTGTGTATAAAAATTATATTAATTTCAGAAATTGAAATTATCGGTATTATTGTTTAAATTTATTTTTGTGTGTGGATTTTATTTAGCTTTTTATAAACTTTTAGAGAGAGAGAGAGAGAGAGAGAGAGAGATTATTATAATAATAATATTAACACTACTTATGTGAATTAACATTTAATTATTCATCGTTTTAAAAAAGTGTTACGTACATTGCAATACACGTAAGTAATAAACATTTCATTAATAATATTTCTTATAAGCCTGCAGATTTATGTAACGGCTGTCCGCGGAACTCTCAATAGCCACCGTAAACAAAACAGCGTTTTTATTTTTTTTCGTACAAACGTTTTACGAATACACAAATAATTGGTATGTAACGTGTCTATCTGCTCGACTTCTGTAACGGCGGCGCGGCCTGAGAAGCGCGAACTGGTCGGATACACGCAGTCACCTTACTCGCGACTTGCGCGGGTCCTGCTCCTATTGATGGGCACTACAACGCCATAAACACTGCGCCTTTTTCTCCTTCTGATTCCTGCTTGCTGCTTGTAATTCCCGTTGTCATGGGTAAAGGGTCGCCCGAAGTCAGCGACTTGGCGGCTGTTTGTCGCTCGTATTATTTATGTTGCTCGCGGAGAAGAGGACGATGCGAGGCAGTCGAATAGGTGAAATTCACAGCATGCAGATCAATTTGACAAAATAGAAAGAGGCGTTTATGGTATTGCCCAACTCACATGGGGTTTCCTAGGCCCCGCCGCATTTATTTTAGATAAATCAAAGTAAACGTTGATAACTGAGCTCATGCTCACACAAAAGAAATAAACGGAGTCGGATTTTATGCTTGCCACTCGAACTAATACAATGCGCAGTTTTCATCTGCTCTCATTGTGTCGCGACTTACTCGCATCATACTAAAGTACAGTATTACTCACGCAGCTTCGCTTTTACCGCTACGTCCCGCTGTCGAAGATGTTCTCGCGGTCGGTCAATTTCCACTCTCTCGGAATTGCTCGAACGCTCGCTGGACGAAAGTCGGGTCTTTCAGTTCATCCTCGCTTGTCCGTGGTCCGGCCTCAACCAACCGCACGCGATCAGAAGATAGCGCCGATGACCGACACTTCCCCCACTCGCGCTCTAGCCGAAAACGTATACGCATTTACAGTGCGTATGCCCTTTCGGCGCTCTCTCACCTCGCTCTAACGACTACTTACACCTGTGTGCGTGTCCTCACAACTCTCTTTCTCTCGAATGTTGGCTCTGTGAGCCCATGTGTGTGAAAGGTCGAGATACCGCGTCACAGGTAAATACTAAAATTATTATCAATGCATTTTTCAAGTTGCAAACGATTTATCTTTGATAAAGGCTTCTATGAGACTTTTATACTTTTATTCGACTTTAAGTTAAACTAACAGTGGTAAGTAATTTAACAAAATTAAACCAATATTCTAAGTAATTTAAATGGTGTTTTAGTAGTAATCTTTTTTTCTCATCTTATTAAATTTATGGTATGACCGAAAACAATACGGATGCGGTAATTAGCTTTATATACGCAACTGGCTTGATAAATAATATAAATAATTGTGCAAGTTCTTATGCAAAATCTTGTGATTATTCTTTTTATTTCTCGATTTTTTATTCAGTTTTACTGCAAACCCATAATATAATTTCATTTCTGAGGCATATAATCAAGATATAATGCACGAGTTTTTATCTAACTCCCAAAGCAATCTTGCCAAGAACAATATTTATAATTGTTCGTTGAACCTAAATTTTTATTGTATGCGAAACACTCAGATCAATGTATTTGCACCGCTTTGTTTCATCTGAATCAAGATTGATATTATGTTTATCATCTCGCGATCCAAACGTTTTTGACGAAGTTTTAATCAAGAACTTTCAATGGCAATTATTTTATTGTTGATTTCGGTGGGAGTACCGTGTATTACCTAGCTCGATAAGCAACGAGAAACTACTAATTTGTCATTATAAATTGTACACATTTCGCATGTTAATATAAGCTTACAATTGTCTTGTCTCATATAACATAAGCGGAACTACGTTAAATGCCTTTACGTGAATATTAGTTCGTTAACATAATCTGACGACTTGATTGTTAATTGTTTGTCTGGATGAATAACAATTCACAATAGGAGTATTATTTATTTTTGGAATGTTAGGCTCGTGGAGATTATTGGCAGGATATTTAAATGAAAACACTTATGTTTTATCAAACTGAACTCTTAATCTTTATTTCAACTCTAAGAATAATTCTTTTTATATTCTCTTTATAATAAAAACTCTTAATAGAAAAGGCTAATACACGCTGTTCAGCACAAGCTACTCTCTCAGTACGAAAACAAGTCCTTTGCCAGAGACAGAAAAATCATGAAGAGAAAAAGAGAGAGGGAGGCAGCGCTGACGAATGGGTGGCGTCCTCTATCGCTCCTATTTCAAGCCCTTCATTCTAACACTCCCTCCGCTTGAAATAAACAATCTCTAATCCTTTTCTTTGGAATAATAATAACATAACTTTTATAGTGAGAAACACAACAATCTAAATTTCACACAGGGTGCCTTTTAATTTCTTTGATTCCAGCTTCCACTGCGCAACAGTTCTCCTCCCGTGGTTTCTCTTGATTCTCTATTTTCTTCCGTACCTGCGAACAATACAAAATGCAAAATGATAATTATCCATATATTGTTTTTATTCTCTTATTACAACAATTTTTCTCTTAATTTTAAATGTGAGGGAGGGGTTTCGTCATTATATCTGCGGTATTATCTGCGGTTGCTACCCTAATAACTCTTAGTCTTCCCTGTATTACGCAAAACTTTACAAAGTCCCCATGCGTTTCTGCCATTGGAGGCTTTTTACCTCCTAGTTCTCTTGCTATCAATCTTCTCTTTATCTCGTCTATGTAGTCAAAAGATTTCAACTTATGACTTCCCTCCATCTGCGTACATTTTCTCGAAGAATCATTATCTATTCTTACTGTAACTGGATACATTGTTTTTCCCAAAATATCTCTAATTGGCTTATCCAATGCAATTATCTCTTTACTTACTCCACTTGTAGCAAGATATTCTGCTTCGCAAGTAGATGTTGCTGGATAAGACAGCTTCTGACTTTTCCAAGCTACCGTATCTCCAAATAGCTTGATTACATAGCCGCTTGTCGAATCTGAATTTTCCAAGTCTCGGAAACTTGAGTCTGTCCAAGCTTCCATTTCTTTCTCATTACTTTGGTATACTAGTCCTAAATCAGATGTACCTTTGAGATAACGGAAAATTCTCTTAACACCTTGCCAGTCCTCGTTTGTTTCTCTTTATTTTGTAAATTTCTCTTCTTTACTTGTCTCGTCACCATAGGTGTTTCTTGTGGTTTAAATTCTTTCATATTGAATTTTTCAAGCATGTTTTCTATATACTCTGGTTGAGTGATTCACATTTCTCTTTTTACTCTATTTCTCATTATTTTCATGCCTAGGAAATTCTCTGGTTCTCCCATTTCCTTTATTTCAAAAACTTTATTTAGATGAGTTGATACTTCATCCATTTTCTCTTTATCGTTGCCAGCTGTTATCATGTCATCGACATACAATAAAAGCATGACCATTTTACCTTCTTTTCTCCAGGTAAATAAACTTGGGTCGTGAATATAATTCTCTAGTCCTAATTTTGTTATTTCTTCTTTGAATTTCTCGTACCATCTTTTTGGGCTAACTGGCAAACCGTATGAAGCTTTCTTCAGCTTCCAAACTTTGTTTCTCTTCTCCTCTTCAGAGTAATCACATCCTTTAGATATTTCCATATATATTGGTATAGTCAGTTTTCCGTTTAGAAATGCTGTCTTAACATCAGACTGTCTAGCCTCTAAATTTTCCTTGTTAATTATGGACAGAGCTACTCTAACCAATGGCATTCTCGACACTGGTGCATAAATTTCTCCTAATTCATACTCGTTGTCGTCTTGATATCCTCTTACCACCAATCTGGCCTTGTGTGTTACTTTATTCTTGACTGTATTCTTTCTTGTAAAAATCCATCTTGAGTTCAACACTTTTGCATTTTCTGGTCTATTGACTATTTTATAAACAACTATTTTGTCAATCGACTTTTTCTCTTCTGCAATACTTTCTAACCATTTTTCTTTCTCTTTATTCTCTAACGCTTCACTATAATCAGCAGGATCTTTATTTATTTTAGCTAGCATCACATGTCTTTCCTCTTGAGTAATTGCGAATGGTTTATTCTCTTGAAATTTAGATATGTACACGAACATGTCATCTTTATTGGGTTTGGGGTCTCTCTTTGATACTCTTGGTCTTTTGTTTTCATTTTCATTTTGTTCTTTACTCTCTTCCAATTTTCTCTTCTTTGG